ATGCTGCTTGGCCTGCTGTGTTCATCCAGCTCTACACCTTGTTATCTAAGGTAAAACAGGAGTTTTGATGCTCTCACTTTAACATATTCAAATGTTGACAGTGGTAGTTACTTACAAAATAGACATTACATTACATGTAGTTAAGTGGTTAAGTAGGTGTTTAGCACACTTACCTTCACTGCTCAGACCTTTGAGTGTAGGAGTTGGGAAGTCATGTTGAGGTTGTGCAGGATGTTGGTGAGGCCTCTTCTTGAGTCTTGTTGCCCTGTTGTAGGAAGGATATTACTAAGCTGGAGAGGGTTCAGAAGAGATTTACCAGGATATTGCTGGGAATGGAGGGTTTAATTTATAAAGAGAGACTGCATAGGCTGGGAATTTTTTCACTGGAGCATAAGAGGTTGAGGTTTATAGAGTTTTATAAAATCATGAGGGGTTTGAAAAAGTGAATGGCAGATTTATTTTCCCTTTGGTGGGATTTCAGATGAGGAAGCATATTTTTAAGGTGAGAGGAAAAAGATTTAAAAAAGACACGAGTAACTTTTTTTACACAGAGGGTGGTTCATGTGTGGAGTGAACTTCCAGAAGAAGTGGTGGATGTGGTTACAATTACAACATTTGAAAGACATTTGGATAAGTTCATGAATAAGAAATGTTTAGAGGGATTAGGGCCAAGCGCAGACAGGTGGGACTAGTTTAGTTTGGGACTAAGGTTGCCATGGACTGGTTGGACCGAAGGACCGTTATCTGTGCTGTATGACTCTCTGACTCAGTAACACAGAAACAGGTCATTTGGCTCAACAATGCCTTACAGATGCTTCTACAGCACACAAGCCTCCTCTTATTCTATCTACCATAAACTTTCAGCACATATTTCTATTCCTAATAGGTTGGCACAACATCGTGGGCTGAAGGGCCTGTACTGTGCTGTACTCTTCTATGTTCTATGTTCCCTGTACTTGTATAATTTCCATTTTCAAATGGCTGAAAACGTTCAAGTTCCAGTTTCTCCAGAACGCCTACATTGCTTGTGTAATGTGGAAACCAGGAGTTTGCACAGTACTCAGGCTTTAGCTTATTCAGGTTCTGTATAATATTTCCACATGACTATCTATGGGGAAATCAATCCCAAAGAATCAATATGGCAGCAACGAGGGATGACATCTTAGAAGACTCCTCAAGTGAAGTCATAGGAGTAGAACGTTAAAGCCAAAAGGAGCAATCACATTGCTGGGATTGTACTATAAGCCTCCTAAATTTTGAGGTAAAAAAGAACAGCAGATATGTAGGTAAATTCAGCGAAGTGTAAAAGTAATAGGGTAATTATAGTAGGAGATTTCAACATCCTAAACATTAACCAATAGTCATAGTGTGAAAGGTTTAGAGGGAGCAAAATCCTTAAAATCCTTAGAAGAGATTTTTTAAGTGTGTAGAAGGCATGACAGGAGAGGGGCATATGGTCCTAAACCTCAACCACTTACCTGGCTTCACTATCTAAAATGACGTGTCAGTGGGTGAGCATTTTGCAGACAGTGATCATAACTCGTTTAGATTCAATATTGTTTTGGAAGAGGACAAGGATGGGTCTGAAATCAAAGTTCTAAACTGGGGGAAGACTGATTTTGATCAGAATAGGTAGGTGGTTGTTTTTGACTGGTGCCGATTCAGTGGGCTGAAGGGCCTTTTTCTGTGCTTTTGACCTTTGTGGCTCTGCTTTTGCCTTGAAAGTATTTCCTGAGGAATCCCCTGACTTTCTGAGCTCTTTGATTAAATTGAGGACAGGGTCAGTCATAGGCTGGTGGTTGCCATGTGGTCTTACAGGATATAACTCACTGTTTGGTGCTTTCCAATACTATATGAAGTTTCTTCTAAATTTGATAATGTGACTGACTAATTAATTTGGATACTTGCAGGTTCCAGTGGGATTCCAGTGAAGATTGTTCCAAATCTTTTTGCTTTCAGATCACCCCCAAAATGGTGTCTGTACCAGTACCAAGTGACCTTTATGCCTGACATTGAGTCTAAACGTTTAAGGATGGCATTGCTGTTCAGCCACAGTGATCTTCTAGGAACAATCAGGGCATTTGATGGAGCTATGTTGTTCCTTCCAAACAAACTGCAAAATCAAGTAAGAAATATATTTTTGAAACTCCTCAATAATATCGATGTTTTAACTTCGGAAAAATGTTAAGAGTGAGAATTAACATTGAAAAGCAATATGAAAACTAAACTCATTTTAACACCTCCAGTTAAATCTCCCAATTAGGCTGCAATTCTGTGATTGATTCCTTATCATCAATGTAAGTTTTAAAGTTATGGACATTGTGTCTGAGGTTTTCCGTTCTCCACACACACGCTACCACAGCACTGATACAGCAATTTAGACAATTGAACTATTAATTGTTTTTAGAATGAACACACAAGGTTAGGATTGTAATTGGTGCCAATGAGATTTATTCTAGTTAAGTTGCATTTGAAAAGTAGTTAATGCATGATTGTGTGAGCCCAAGGATATCAATTTTGTGAAAATAAACACAGCTTAACTCTTGTTTTGCTATGTTGCTGTGATTATTTATTGCCAAGATATCTGGATTAAAGGGGAGCTCTTCAATCAGTATTTCTTTTTGAAAAATAAAATAACTTAATTAGGTCCCAGCCATGTCAGGATGACTACCTAATTTTTTCTGCACTGATCTGTTATAAGATAAGATATCTAAATGAAAATAAATTAATCAGCCTGTTCAGATGTGTTATGATGAACTTTTGGAGCAGCTAGGTCTTGAACCTAGGCCTCCTGACTCAGAAATAGGGACTCTGCCATAGTGCCATAAGATCCCCTAATTTACTTTCATTTACCTTTAGGAAATTGGCAGGCTACAGCAATACAACAAACTGCTAGTGATAGTTGTCCACATTTCATTCAAAGGCATATGTGAAAAAAATCTACTGATGATTTACAGGTACACATGTTCTCGACCAAATTTACCATTATAACTAGCATCATGCTTTATCCCTACCATATCTGATGTATCCTTGCTCTTTAGAATTTAATAAGAGTGCAAGCAAAATACATTCCAGTAAAAAAGGAAAAAAAACAAATTAAACAGTTGAATCTTTGAGAATGAATAAAGATGTAAACAAAAATTTGAGGGTTTGGAATGAGGTATGCAATGAAAACGTAGGCAGCAGACGCTGCATGATAAGTGGGAAAACAAAGAAATTAGGAGAAAAGATGGAAAACAACTAAGAAGGTCATGAGGAACTATGAAAATAAATTATCAAGGAACATAAAACAAAGTAAATTTTTTTACAAGTACATTAATGTAAAATCTGGAGACTGAGTTGGAATCGGACTATCACGGGATAGAGACAGGATTGTGCCACAGGTAATGATAAAGTGATGGCAGAAATATTGAATCAGTATTTTTGTCTGGTATTTATCAGGGTGATTGAATGAGTAGTCAAGATATTAAGTGATGAAGAGAATAATGAAAGAATGCATTTAAAGTTAAGAAAGGAAATGTAATGAATAAGCTAATCAAAATCAAAGAAGATTGTACTCCTCAGTCCAGATCCATTTTAAAAGAATCAGCATTAAGCAATAGCAAAGACATACTACCTATATTTAATACTGTTAGAAAAATAAGTAGTCAGAGGATTGGTTTATCATTAATGTAAATCTTGTATTTAAAAAGGAGGCAGAACATGCCCAGGGAGTTATAAACTGGTCCATTTTAAAATGGTGGTACAAAAAAAATAGAATTCCTATAAAAGAAGAGAAAAATATGAACATGTAAGGCAGAAACTTATAGGACCGTGAGCAACATATTCTTTGTCAAGATTTTGTGGCAGAATTGCATAAGAAGTCCAGCAGGGTCTATTTTGATAGCATCTCGCTGTATCTTTTATGCATCTATCGAACATTGAGGCAAGTTTATCACTGGGGCAGTGCCAGTGGCAAGTTGCCAAGTAAAGGGGATCATTGCCTTTTCAACACTTTAACACTGCAACTCAGCTCATTAATATTCAGCTTCTTAGCTTACCAGACATACTGGCCAAGTCGGATGGTCAGTTTGGGAATTTTCAAAAAGGAAGTCTGCTCAGATTTCAACTCACCTCTTGTTTCAAAGGACCTCCATATTGTATACTGGGCATCAAACATCTTAGTATGCATAGTATGGACAGTGGTCATGTGCACTCTATGTCTGCTTGTTCACTTATACCCACTTAAGAAAGAAACAAGAAAGAAAGGGCATAGATTCAAAGTGAGCTGCAAAAGAAACAAAGGTGAAGTGAAGAAAACCCTTTACATTCAGTGAGTAGTTAGGGTGTAGAATGCATTGCCTGGAAGTATGGTGGAGGCAGGGTCAACTGAGGCATCAAAGAGGGAATTGGATGATTATTTGGATAAAAATTATGTTCAAGGATATGGAGAAAAAGCAAGAGATTGGCATTAGGCCAAGAGCAGGTACAGTCACAATAGGCCAAATGGCCTCCTCCTGTGATTCTGTGATGTCCACTGACATTGGCATCCAACATGTGCCAGACTCTAGGAACCCACATGACACGTCACATTTACAATGTGCCTCTGCATTTCAGTGCTATAGCTTGGGCTGTACCAGCAACGATTGTAACGCTGCAGCAAAGACATTGTGTACACAATGACGCAGCTCACAGATTGGACCAGGCTGCATCTCTGGTCTGTTTGTTTTCTGTATAAACATTCACTCACTTTGAGCCTACTTGGAAACACATAGCATCCCCACTTTGCCTTGCATTGTCTTTTTATATCTTGCTCATCAACCAGACATACCAGGTTCATATTACTACTGTCTTCCTTGCAGGCAAAAAGGCAAGAAGCTTGTCATGGCTATCAACAAGCCTCAGAGAAGTCAAGTGAGATAGCTTACAGTTAGGGGGTCCCAGTACAGTAGGTCAATGGCAGCCTCTAATACCAGTCTAGGGACTTGAAAATGGTCAGTCAGTTGCTCAGAATGGTCAGAGTCACACAAAAGGTGTGAGGAACTGTCAGCAGCCTCTAATTTGTTTCTTCTTGCCTTATTATGGGCAGTTTTGTGATTGGAATAAGCGAGCAGGTATTAGGTGAGGTGAAAGTGGGTGGCATAATAAGTGGGGAGGGGGAAATAGTCAACACTGAGGATGACTGAAAGAACAAAACAAGAAAACACTAATAAATTTGCAGAATGGGCAAATAATTGGTAGAAGTTCAATACAGGGAAATGAGGTAGAACAGTTTGGTAGGAAGTGCAGAAGCCCCTTATTGCTTGAAACGTGCAAGTCTAATTGGGATAGAGGAACAGTAGGATCACTCAAACTAAGCATGAAACTTTATTTCAGTCTGCAAGCTGGGTGTCTGTCCCTGTGCACAAAATGCCCCCACTGCAGCCTTTCAATGCGAGTTGCTGGTGCACCCCGAAATGCACGTTTATAGCACACTACTAGTGAACAGAAGTATTCGGAGTGTTGTGATGGGTTGGCAGATGCCTGTGTCCATGGGCAAGGGATACATATGACTGGTCCCAATGGATTGTGCCTTGGAATGTTGTTTCCCAGTATCTACCATAGAAGTCATTTGGTACAAGTGGTGAGATGAACCTGCCAGGTACATGCTCTGGTTTACTTGTCAAGGTTTCACAACATCTAGCTTGTCTGCCAGGTCTGATAAAATGGGCTATCGATATAGATAGCCCAAGAAATCCAATAGGAAATTCACAAAAAAAGAACTAGCACTGGCAGATCACAGCAAGCAAAGGATGCATAGATCAAAAAGACTTAGAGGCATACAGGTTACATTATTTGAGGCTAGAGTCCATTCAACAGTCTGATAACGGCCAGAAGGAAGCTGTTCCTGTGCATGTGTTCAGACTGATGTATCTTCTGCCTGACAGGAAAGGTTGTGGGAGGTCATTACCAGGGTGCGATAGGTCTTTGATGACATTGGCCGCCTTTCCGTGGCAGCGGGCCGTGCAAATAGAGTCAGTAGATGGAAGGTTGGCTTCTGTGATGGTCTGGCCTGTGCACACAACCTTCTGTAGTTTCTTACGGTCCTCGGCAGAGCAGTCGCCATACCAGGCTGTTATGCACCCGGACAGTGTGCTTTCAATGGTGCATCTATAGAAGTTGGTGACGGGCCTTATGGACATGCCTAATTTCTTGAGTTGCCTGAGAAAGAAGAGATGTTGTTGTGCCTTTTTGACTGTCACAACTATGTGGGAAGCCCAGGACAGGTTGCTGGTTATTGTCACTCCGAGGAGCTTGACACACTTCACCCACTGAAACTCAGTTCCGTTGATGTAGATGGGGGCGTGTTCTTGTCCCTTCTTTCTTAAGTTGATGATGAGTTCTTTAGTTTTGCCAACATTGAGAGACAGATTGTTTTCATTGTGCCACATCACCAAGCCCTCTATCTCCCTTCTGTGTTTTGACTTGTTGTTAGATATCTGACCCACTATGGTGGTCTCATCAGCGAACTCGTAGATGGCATTCGTTCGGAATTTGGCAACACAGTCATAGGTGTACAGGGAGTAGAGTAGGGTGCTGAGGACACATCCTTAGGGGGCCCCAGTGTTGACTGTTGTTGTGGAGGAGGTGCAGTTACCTATCCTCACTGATTGTGGCCTGTGGGTCAGAAAGCTGAGGATCAAGTTGCAGAGGCTGGAGCCGCGACCCAGAGTTTGGAGCCGCGACCAAGGTCACGCAGTTTTGAGATCAGTCTGCAGGGGATAATGGTGTTGAAGGCAGAGCTGTAGTCAACAATCAGGAGTCTGACATAGGTGTCTTTGTTGTCCAGATGTTCCAGGGATGAGTGCAGGGCTAGGGAAATGGCAGCCTTTATCGATCTGTTATGTCAGTAGGCAAGCTGTAGGGGATCAAGGCAGATTGGGAGACTGGAGTTGATGTGGGCCATGACCAGCCTCTCGAACCACTTCATGATTATTGAAGTCAGAGGTATTGGGCGTTAGTCATTAAGGCCACTGCATGTGCTTTCTTGGGTACAGGGATGATGGTGGTCTTCTTGAAGCAGGCCAGGACTTTGGCTTGTAGGAGGGAGAGGTTGAAGATGTTGGTGAATATCTCCACCAGTTGGTCTGCACAGGATTTGCATGC